TAACATGGAGAACGCTAAAAATATCGTGTCCAGGTATTTGAAGCCAGAGCAGAATTTGTCCAAGCACAGCAAGTTTCAGCTCTGATGAGCAGCAGATACATGGAGATCTGAGGCAGTTTGGGGAGAAATCCCCAGCTAGAACTGTGCTTCTCCAGAAATGTCTTTCATACTGATGTTTCAGATTTGCTTTCACCTATGGTTGACACACAGTTGCTACCATTTCTTTTGAAGGAATCATGTTAGTTCAAGAAATGTAATGATTATTTTTTAAAATTATTTTACAGAATTTAAAAATAATGGAAATAAGAGTTTAACAGAACCAGTTTGAGAAAACTTGCTTTATTGACTCTGCTAAATTTAAATCTAAATCTAAATATAAATATAAATCTCACTCTGACTTCAGGTATCTAACACCTTTTGTCAGGGTATCTGACACCTTCTGGGTGTCACTATGGGCTGAAGAGCAGCCACCACATTTCAGAGGCACTTTATTAAGTTCATTCATCAGACCCAGCTCATTTATTAAAGGCTCCTGTTCTGCTGCACCTTTGTGAACACCCGTCACAGCCACTTTCATGGTTATTAATTGAACTTCTAYGATTATTTGTGGTAAGCTCCTGCACACTAAGCACAGACAGACTGGAGATGACCAAGGTAAGGGCACTCTGGTACAGTGGAAGGATTTTTTTTTTCTTTTTTAGCATATCCTTCATGGTAATTCCTCATGTTCTTCCATCTCAGTTTTGAARGAAGTGTGTTTACATTTCTGCATGGGACGGCTGAGAGGCTGTGGCACATTTCATTGGGAAGGTTTTTATGTGCTCAGCCCTGGGTTACATCCAAAGTGAATGACTGCATTCCTCCAAGCCAAATTCCTCTCATATATACAGCTGGATACTTCTTTTTGCCGTTAGGATTATATGCTATCTGCTGTGCCTTCATTTCAGCCACAGAAGGGAGATGACTTGGAGGTGAGGGAATCAGAACAGATTGGGGAAATCCAGGTTTTTTGAGCCATCCTGGGTTTCACAACATGGGCCCAGGCATTCAGAAATGGAGTTAGCAATACTAGTACTTCATAGCAGCTCTGTGGGCATAAACACACAGAAGATTGCAAAGTGCTCAAATATTACAGTCATGAAAGTCATATAAATACTAGAGATTGACAGATCTTCACAAAATTTGTAAGAAAATCTGCAAAGCATCTGGATAAAGAGGGCTACAGAAATACAAGAATGTTGAGACAAGATTCTTGTGCCAATATTTCTGTCTGATTGGAATTAAGATGAATTATCAATCATAAATATGAGAGAGCTATAAAAGGTAAAGTGAAACTGTACTATTAAAATTTTAGTTTTTGATTTTCCCTATTTATCTTTCCAGTTCTCTTCCATCACTAATCTATCTTGTTGAGCAAAAATAGCATATAAGTACAGTGCAGCTTGATTACTGAGAATGGCTATTAATGTAGTGTTTCAGAGTGCTCTCTAGACAGTTAAAAAGCTTTTAACAATAAAATATGAAGGTTTCCTTCAAATTTGCAGTCATCTGCCCTTTAAAAGTTTCACTTGCCAATGTTTCAGTGATTTATGGAGGCTAAAGTATCTGATTTTTGTCTCCCCACAATAGAGGAGAGCTGTTTTTCTTATTATTTTTTAAACGCGATGTCATTATGTTAAGCAGTAAAAAAAAGTTAGGAGCTACATTAGAAGACACAGCTTTTAAAATAATTTTAAGGCATCTGGCCTTATTTAAACCATCAAATTTACATTCAATTCCTTCAGGGATGGCTCTGTTGCTTTGCACTGGCTAAGTGCCCTCCAAATAAAGCCCTGGATTTAATGCATGCCACCACGTTCCACTAGTTGCACTGCTGCTCTGCGCAGATATACAGTAGAGGTTTAAAAAGCCTAACCTTGGACAAGATGATTCACTTAGGGGGAAAAAAAAAAAAAGAAAAAGCTGTAATAGTATAAGTTTCAACTAGAGGTTAGACTTGTGACAAATGTCACTATCTATTTATTCTTAAATTATTAGTAGAAGTGTTTATGCACTATGAAACATTCTGTACGAGCTAGACAGGAAGCTGTAAAATATTTTATGAGATCTACACATGGCTGATGGCAGAACTTTAATACAATGCTAAGGTTCATCTAAATTCAAGAAGTGCCAGAAAACACTTCCCGCCGCCCTGATGCAATCCTCATTTGACCAAAAGGACCATTTTCAGAAATTTTAGAGAGGCCAAACTGTGCAACATCGGGACTCTATCCAGGGAACCACAAACACTTGCAGCTTCTCCTCCCTTCCAGCTGATGGCAAAAGCCCTGGAAAGGTGCAGAAAAAAGGCCAGCAAAAGGCAGGTCAGTCTGTTTGGGAAAGCAGATGGTTCCCAGTTAAAGATGTGCTTGGTGCTCCAGGACCTCCTTTGCCTCTGTTGATTTGGGGTTGAATTATTATTTCTCTTTGGCAGATGGTTAAGACTAAGAAACCCAAAAATGAGGTAAAATATCCACACAGCAGGTTAGATGTTGAACAGTGAGTAATAACTCAGGTTCCCATAACTGCTACACAACCTTGTTCCGATYGAAATTCATCCATTTTCCACTGGTTTAAGCCACTGAGAGCTTGTAATATAATCAGTAATTAGCTAAATCTGTAATAAGAATCAAAAGCATTACCCAGATGGCATTATACACACACAAAACTGTTAGTGCACATCAATGCAGTCTCACGATCATGCATACTACAAGGAAAAAAGTTTTAGGTAAAAGGTTTAGTATCGCCTTAAACATGTATCTCTGCTTCTATAGCACCTAAAGTGGTGCCACAAGCACATGCAGCACAAGTCTTATCTATTTTTTTTAGATTTTAAGCATAATTAAGGAAAGAAAATTGAAGATGAAAGGCATTACTTCTCAATAAAAGAATAACTGACTTAGTTCAAGATAGGGAGACACAACCTACCTTGTTTTACTCTAAACTCAGCTCACTGATTAATGTGGAGAAGTGAAAGGTTATTATATGGGTTTACTGGGTAAACCCAGATTTTATAAATAATTGCCTGTCAGACTGTTCAAGATAGACAAACACACAGCAGACCAACAAAAACACAATCTGTCATATTTGTGAGAGAAATGTGTGTTGAGTCTTCATTCTCTGGGACTTAAGTAGAGCAGTAAAAAATAAGTGCCAGTATTTTCCCTGTTTACGCATATTTTAAAATGTAAAATCTGGGAGAGATACAGCTACGGAAGGAATTTTGATTCCAGTGCCCAGTGCTTGAAATGGTTTCTTCTGTCTATATCCCTGCAGATCGAAACCAAATACAATAAATGCTGGTGTTCTTTTAAAAAGTCTGGATGTTTACAGCAAGCATATAATTTTCCATGATTAAGGACGCCAACAAAAATAAGGATGATGATAAAAAGAAAAGTTTAATCATACATTTCAACAAGCACAGATGGGACATCAGAAAACTTCCCCTCCTACTTTACATACTGCATTGTACATATTACTTTTAGTCCTTTACACAAAGATTAATTCCAGAAAACAGAACTGTAAGCAGGTAAAAGAAAAAAAGCAATTTAGGAATGCCAGTAACAGTTGATGTGCAAAGCTCATGTACTATATTTTGGTTACACGGGAAAGAGGCTTTTTCTGGTCATTGAAAAAATATATTTGTATTTTAGAGGTCAGGACAAGCAGGTCCAGGTTTTCACAGCAGGGCAACCGGGTCACTTACTTACAAATGAAGTCACTTGCAAGTGGCACAGAGGAGAAATGGGAGGAAATGTGAACATCTCCCATACGGAGCACACGGGAGAGGATGGCTGCACTATATCAAAGCACTATCTTACTGATCCCCCCATGGATCCCTTGAGTGCTCTGCTTCAATTTGAGGTTTAAKTCAGACTTTTAACCTGCACTAAGAGCCATTGAAGGGGACCCCTGGGCCAGCAGGAGACCCCAGGGATATGGGCAGTAAATGCCAGTGGATCCCGAGGAAGGACTGAAGCACAAGCCCTTTCTTCTTGTCAAGCCTCACCGTTGTTAGCTCTGTATATGTACAGGTTTTTTTTATGGGAAGAATTGAATGTGTTGGCAAGGAAAGCGAAGGTTTACAACCTTCGGGAGTCAGGAATGACTGGAAGAACCATAGAGGGAGGGACTGAAATTTACAGAGGAAATCTGAAATCAAGCACAGTGGACTAAAATATAAAATGGCAAAAGAAAAACAGTGCCTATTTGGCAAAAGAAAAACAGTGCCTATTTCTTCTTCAACCAAATTTAACAGCAGCATTGCCTTCATTAACAGCAGAGACAATATCTGCTTCCTGCAGCACATGCTTGAGCAAGTATATAACTTCAAACCTTTGACTGAGGACACTCAGAGGGATGCAATGAAAATAGCGGTGTCAAAGTGAAGAATTCGGGGCTGAGTATTTAAGCCTATCATTTCTCTCCCTCYCCAAAAAAGACAGAAAACAGAGTAACAAATTTTGTTTTGGACTTGATATCGAAAAGCCCCTTACTGGATCAGACTGGGCTATGCTGTTTGAACACCATTTAAAAATAAACTCAGAGGAATCGCTGGAAAACAGGGCTGTTTCTCTCTTTTTTTTTTCCCTGATTTTTAAATCGCAGGTTAAGACTCTACAGCCCATTCCATCTCTGGCGTCTCCCTACCCTCTGCTGCTGTATGAAGCGCCCCTACCCAAGAGGAGTTCCCCACGTGTAAATCAAAATGCCTCGGCGCGGGGGGCAGAGAGCGGCAGCGCACGGGCGCTCGCAGGGCCGTGCAAGCTGCGTTCTTGTCCACCTACACGCTCCCCCAAACATCCTGCCATTAATTAGCTCTACGTTCCAGCTAGTAAACAAGAATAACGATTGAAGGGGCTGGGGAAACAAAAAGAAGAAAAAAAACAGAAAAAAAAAACCAGAAAGGAAGAAAGGAAGAAAGAAAAGAAGGAAAGTAAAAAAAAAAAAAGGAAAAAAAAAAAAAAAAAGAGACAGAGGCAGCCAGCAGATAGTCACAACAAACCAGCCCACTCGCCGGTGTGCGGAGCCGATGGAGTTTGTGGTTTTTTTTATTTTGTATTTCTTTTTTTTCTTTCCACGGAGGGGAAAACAAATCACCTTAATATAACGCTGTCTTTCCTGTTGCTGTGGCCACATCCATATTAGCAGGCTAGAAAAGTCATCCCGTTTCGGCGGTAGGCACTCTGTCAAAGAAGGAGAAAAATCTGCAATGAATTATCACATCAACTCCAACAAGGGCAGAAGGCAGAGAGAAAGGCAAGGCTTGCTTCCTGTTTTGCTGACTCTTCTGGCTGCAATCTAATAGCAGGCTTAATCCAAACATTTCTGGTAGGGAAGTTGTAAGCGACCACTTTGTCTATTAAAAAATCAGTGTGGTTAACAAGTGGTTAGGGGCTCTATTTCAGGAGGGCAGAGATATGCAAAAATGCAACGTCCTGTTTTGCTAATTGCCTGCAAAATGGATGAGGCCAAAAATACACTATTAGGCTGAATCTGTTTGTCCTTTATAAGCATGTGTTCTCTATTCACTATGCTCCAGAATCACTTCAAACTCAAATATCTTAATGGTCTATAAATTACTGAATCATTAGARTGTTTTCCAAGCCTACTTTATAGTCTAGGCCAAAAGCTATGTAAACAGACACTGGTATAAGCCCCTGCCTCCCACCCCAACCAAATTAATCTAAAAGAAGCTCTAGTCAGTGCAAAATAATTTGATAATCCGTTATCATATGGATTACATRTATTGTAACCTGGGATCAAGTGTTTTCCATGATAAAGAAGAGATAAATAGTATTTGAGAAAATATTTTTACAAGATATGGTGACACTGTCTCTCTCTAAAATAACTTTCACGGATTTTTAACATCTCTTTCTGGATAAATATAGGAAGTTATGATTTCATTTTACCCAGGAACATTGGAAACCCTATATTTCAAGGGAATATTCCCAGTTAAAAATGTATTGCTAAGAATATTTTTAGATATTAACAATAACTTCAAAATTTCAATTGTGGACGAGTTTAAATCCTTTTCATTTTTTTGGTTCACCTTCAGTAGTCATTCAGTTTTGCAAATGAAACTGTATTTATATTTTATTTCATTACAGTCAATATTTCATCCCATTTATTTACTGCCACTTATATTTGAGCCCTTGGGAAGTGGGACATATAACTGTCACATTTAGTTACACTGTACCAATTTCTAAATTAATTTTAGTGAGATCAATTTCTCCTCTTTAAACTCGAATGGGAAGAGTATCACTAAAACAGAGTAAAGGATAACCTCAAACAACTTTGCATATAAATAGTATTTGTACTGAACTGCAAGGAATTATTCTCAAAAACAGAGCAGATATATTTACAGACCGTGAATATGCAAAAAAAGAAACAGGTACAAGATGTTTATTATAACATCCTTTACATTAACATCATACTTCAGTAACAGCTCTGAGATAGAGAGTCAGTCATCAGAGATGACAGTATCACTGCAAACAACAACAAAAAAATCCAGAGACTCTATATCCAAACACAAAATACACCAAAACAGACTAGCCAATAATTTTGAAAGGACCCAATATATTCCCACAACCACAAGCAGCAAGTCCAAAGGAGTTTGGATCTATAGTTTGCTCAAACCATTATGGCTTGCACTTGGAAGCCTATGCAAAAGTAACGGTTTTCGCTCTTTGACCCTGGTATTTTTACAGGACTTTATAACATTTAACACATAAATCAAATATATGGGGCTGTTGGGCAGGTTTTGCAGAGCTAAATGAACCCAGGCCTGAAGCTGGAATCACATTCAAGAGGAACAGTTGGATCTTGCGAAAGGAAGTGTGGTTGCCCAGCAAGGCTGGGCTTGGCTGAATTCACCTGGGAAATAATTGAGCTTAAAATTTTCCAAAATGGGCAGTATCATAGAGTTAGCTCTATCCCTGCAAAGGTCATCTTAGAAACAAGCTCAARCAGGGAGGTCAACACCTTCGGAAAGGTGGGCACACCCACCAGGCTATAGTTAGCAATATATTATAGCTAGTGTGGCTATAGTTAGGACTGAAAACTATTTCCTACTAAACTCTGTGTTTCACATACTTTTAATGTTCTGAAACATGTGCCCTTGGGTTGAAATTTCCTTTGCTTTAATCTCTGCCTGAAGTTCAGTTTCTTTGGAAAGGGCCGAGAGAATTCCTGAAGCCATTCTGAAGGCTCAGCAATAATGAAAACAACACACTTTTTCTCCAGCCAAACAGACTGATTCTGATATATGCATATTTTAGTACTGAATTTAGTCATAAATTGTAACATTTTAGCCCTCAGAAGACTTCAAACTCAGCTTAAAGGTAGCTGTTTGGAAAATCAGCATTTCACAGGAGTTTGATTCATCTTGGTCCATAACAAGGTAACAGTTCTTTCTCTTTACGATACATAACTAAATAATAAAACTTTAGCCTCTAMAATACCCTAATGCATAGTATTTTTGCAGTTCTCCAATAGTTTCACATTATGACATTTATCTTAAAGATACATGRCGCTGAACTTATACTAAAAGATGTATCTTAACATAGCAAGAGCTATGAAAAGAAACCACAAGATGTTCTTTACAAAACCTGTATATGTACACAGGTGSACTTGCAAGAGAACAGTGTGCAGATACGTGAGAGTCATTTACTGTGGTTTGATGTAATAACATTTGGGGGGGGGGGGGTCTTTTTTGTCACTTTGGAAGCACCAGATTTTAAATAAAGGACTGTTTGGCTCAGAATTACAGACAGAGGATACTGCAGGCTCTTGATGTAGGATGCTGGTAACCCTTAGCCATATCTGTTTTCTTSGCATAGCGCAACAGCAGGAGGTATCATCAGCCCACATTTCTCCTATAATGGGCTGGATTAATGAAGTTATCACCTTTGAATTTATAAAAAATATCTTTTTTCTTTATACATGAACAATCTCCTAGCTTGATACAAACTACACACTTCATCCTCCCCAAACAAATCCCAATMCACGCTATGAAAAGGTGGTACAGCCTTATTTGGTCATGTTCACTCTTGCAGAACCTCTTCCCAATCCTTGTTCTCATATGACAAGACTGAACATCATCTCTTATGATCTTGCTAAAGGTGAGATGACAAATTGCTCCTTATCCTCCCCAGTTCCTAAGCAGGCTAGACCGAACTAAAACCATCTACATGACCCTTCATCTTGCTTTCTTTCCCCTGTATGCTCTTGCCATACACAGAGGAAAGGCATGGATAATTTTACTGTTGAGTACTCTACTTGCCCATCTAGTCACCACATGGAGGCGTTTTTTTATCTCTTTATGTCAACCTGCTGAACCTTCTCTTGGTTTTGACATTTTCAAGAAAAACAACAACCCCAAACTCACATCAGTTAAGCCAGGGCACTCCACTTTCAATGCATCCTCTCTCTGTCCACTGCACTAAAACCCAAACATGAAACAGTCATGCCTTTAAATTATCAAAGCACACTAGATTTTGATCTAAAAATTTCTTTCTCTGAGAATACGATCATTATGTGGTAAATGAGCTTCATTTTCCCCCCAACATTCTGACAGGAGTGAAGTGATATTCACTTCTGCCAGTCATGTAACAGCAAGATCATGCTTTCCTTTGGCTTTGGATGACAATAGGCAAAACTAACAGCTTAAAAAAGGCAAACTTAAGAGCTGTAGAATAAAAGGCCTTGGTCAAATTATTTCACAGAAGAGTCATCCATTTTCTGCTCCCTCTTCTGTCCTGTCTCTCTCCTACAGTGGTGGCCCGTTGTAGCACAGAATCATAGAATTGTTAAGGTTGGAAGGGACCTCTAGAGATCACTCAGTTCAATGTCCCTGCACATGCAGAGTCACCTAGAGCATGTGGMACAGGACTGCATCCAAGTGGGTTTAGAAGACCTCCAGAGAAGGAGACTCCACAATCTCTCCTAGCAACCTGTTCCAGGGCTCTGTCACTTCACTGTCAAGAAATTTTTCCTTAAGTTTCTGTGGAATTTTTGATGCTTCAGTTTGTGGCCATTTCCTTTTGTCCTGTTGCTGGCCACCACTGAAAAGAGGCCACCCCCTCCTCCTCACTGCCTCCCTTGAGGTATTTATATACACTGATCAGATCCCCTCTCAACCTTCCCTTCTCCACGCTGAACAGGCCCAGCTCTCCCAGCCTTTCCTCACAGGGCAAATGTTCCAGGCCCCTGATCATCCTCGTAGCCCTGCGCTGGACTCTCTCCAGTTGTTTCCTGTCCCTCTTGTACTGGGGAGCATGCTATGAAAGATCAAGAAGAATCACTCCATAAAGAGGAGCAAAACTCCCATCCCTGCAGCAGGTCACACGAAGTGAAACATGGCTTACTGAGGAGCTAGTATGGCCAACTTAGTGGGCAGAACATCACACATTTCTTAACACAGATACACCGAAGCTGTGATTTACAGAACCAAACCCAAGCCAAACCTAAAGATGAGAGTATTCCTCAATTTGGGAATATATCAAACTCAAAAGTAAAGATTTCTGAACAGGTATCTTAGCTATAAATGGTTTCCAGTTAACAATTTATAGTAGTGCATAACTTCACAGCTGTAACATGATGAGAAAGAATAATTTTGGCAAGAGAAAGAAACAGCTGTGACTTTTGAGTGGGCTGATGTGAGTTAAATTCTTATTTGGGATAAAATTTGGAAAGCCTAGAGTAAAACATCTCCAACGGACATCCTAGACACTAAAATTTATTAGGCCAAATCCTCAGCTGGGTTAATTCTGCAGTTCTGCTTACTTTAAAGGTAAGATATAATTTCATACCACTGGAGAATATGGTCTGTTGTATCATTTAAAGACAGTAAATCTTGAATTATAGGTCCCATACAAGCAAGTTACAGAACAGCATTTTTAAAAGTCACAACCTGCCTTTCTTGTTACCCTTGTGTATGTGTGTGGGCAAGTGGTTTAATTACAATGCATGAAGTGGAATGGCAGACAGAGCCATCAAAATCAAAGAGCAAATTCTGGCTGAACTTCATTAGCAAACATAAATACAAATAGACACATCTTGTTTGTGACATGCCATGCTCCTTTCTTCCTTTGGTAATTTTGCTCTATTCTCTGATATTTGCATAAATGTAAATCAAACCATACGACATGACTGCGTTTATGACAGGGGAATCATATGCAAAACT